CGTTCTATGGTGTCATTAATATGTTCAATTTGGTTGTGCGCCATAGATTACATCATGGCTTAGCTACAATGGAGAGACTTGGTGGAGGTAGATCTTCCAAAATTGTTCATCGGTACTTAAAGGTGGACAATTTTAACTTTGATGGGTCGAAGCATGTTAATAAGTATCACCTGCATCATATATCAATTGATAGAAAAGGAATTGATGTGCTTAGCTATATCAGTGAGTTTCTGTTTGTTAATATGTCAAATGTTCCTCGTGTTGCTGTTAGTAATGTTTCTAAGATCGAAAGAATTATATATGGAAGTTTGAGTGATATCATTAGATGTTTTACTTATTTGCACATATATGAAATTATTACACATCTTTGTCATGTAATCTTGTGCAAAGTGATCAATGATTAGAAGGTAAGCAAGACTGATGAAGTCAATTCTGGAATCCTCCAAGCTGCCAACCAAATCTTGATACTGTTCATAAAGGTTTTCGCCAGTAATATCCAAGATATTTAAATACTTTAGATTATCCGATGAAGTTTACTGACATGAACTTTGAGGACAAGGTTCTTTTGCAGGGCGGGAGTATTGTTGTGAAACAAGATAACTCTATAAGTCTATATGGGCTAGACGTGGTAAATAAGACTGATTCAGTTGATATTATTGGGCCGAGTAAAATGTTGAAGAGTTTTATATAGGATCCAGGCTCAATTAGCTATTGTTAAAAAAGTCTAGAGATTAGAAAGAACGGTTATGCAAATTATGTTGAAGCTTTGGCTTTCAGTTATTTCTCATCTTCTTTCTATGTTCTAGTATCTCATCAATTTCTAGTTACCTTCTTCTATGTTAATCTCTCCTTAGTTAGCGTATTATTACTTTTTAGTGCATATTCTAGTAGAAACTTGTATTTAGCGATAATAATATATATCAGTGTTTGTATTAGAAATCGGGTTTGTTTCATTATATGTGTTGTGAACGCAGATGGTCCCTGAACTGTTGTGCATGGGGCTAAACTATGCAGAGGCCCAAGAATTAGATAGCCCAATAATAAATTGGCTTGGGATCCAGGTTGAATAGAGTTTATATGGTTGTCATCTGCGATTTTGGAAAATTATGTGTATTATGAAGAAACTGTCTTTTCCTCTCATCTTCTTTCTAGAGTCTTAACTTTTCATCCCCGTTCTTATCTCTATCTTTAGTTACTTGTTATTACAGTACTTCTCTTTGTAATTCAAGTGTTGTTATTATAATTTGGTTATCAATGAATATAATGTTTATGTATTTGTATTGAGAATTCGGATTTGTTTCATTGGTGCTTTCATCCAGAGGTCTTCAATGGAGGACCAAATATATCAAACAATCAAAGATTCAATTAAGGTCATGATGGATACTTTGTCAAAGGATCTTACTAATATTCATTCAATGTTACGCGAGTTGGTTGGAACCCTTACTATGAGTAAACCTGGAACTATGGAATTTCAACGATTTTTTGGTGAGAATCCAGAGTTATGGATTTCTCAGGCTGAATGCTACTTTAAGTTTTATGAGATTACATAAAACCACAAGTTATATCGATGGGACAGCTTTACAGTGGCATCAATGGCTTTTCCAAAACAAACAGTTGGCGGATTGAAAATATTTTACTGAGAAGTGTTGATTCATTTTCATAAATGCCATCTCGAATCGCAAAAAGAAAACTTGTCAAATCTTCAGGAGTGGAGCAATATAACAAATTCATCTATGCTTCAAAACTATGAGGAGAAATCTGAACGCAAAAGAAAAATGAATGCGCACGCATAAGGTGTTTGACGAAAAGTTGTTTGGTTACTTTCCCACATTATTTGTTGAGACGCATTCAGACACTCCAATTGAAATGGTTAGTGAAGAGGCTACAAATATTAAAAGTATTGTAGTCCAATTGTTCAATAAACATCCCCAAAGAGAACTGTCAGAGAGGTACGTCAATGTAATTGATCTTGATCGTGGCTCTAATGAACAACACACTCATGAAATTGAGACCTTGGAAGGTGCGATTTCTGCTGACGAAATAATACCTTATGCAGAATGTGGCAACTCTTATGGGGGAGAAGAACATGATGAAGGTAATTTACTGTTAAATGTTGGCGCGACTACCTTCGTTGTCCATGTTCAAGGAATTGCATCAAATCTCACTTATGGGGGAGAAGAACACGATGAAGGTAATCTACTGTTGAACCTTAGTGAGACTACCATCGTTGTTCATGTTCAGAAAATTGCATTAAAATAAGGAAGAATTGCTTACTTGTGAAGTTGTATGATTGGGAGCATGTATGCGGTGTTAAAATGAATGTTACAAGCAGTGGTAATGTGATAACTCCTCGTGCGACTTACAAGCTATTGTGGAACCTTATATTGAGGTTTTCTCTTTATGGCCTTCATACTCACCTTGAAGAACAATACATGCATGATTTCTCAATTGAGATATGTTGGGTGTGGAATGACATGGTGCTACTCTAGATATGCTTATATAATTATTGTCATGTGTTGGCCGATGGGCATCAGTTATTACAAATATGAGTTCACTTGCTACATGTACAAGGAATGCATGCAATAATTTAATGATGCTTTGTTTTTGGGTGGAAATTTCTAATTCAACCATAATAAAGTGGCATCAACAGAGTAATAGTTTGGCTTTATGTACTATTAATAAAGAAGGATGGAAGAGAAAGGTGGAAAAAATCTCTTAAAGCTTGAACATGGGCTGCAATATCTCAACTTAATAGAAGAGTCTAAGTTTGAAGATGAAAATGCCTATTATGTGATCATTGCAGATAGTCTTGGTCGATCAAGTTTGGTGCAAATTCACATATATCAATATTGCTCTTATTGGTGGAAGATGATGATTCCCATTGCTATATTATCATGACTAAAAATAGATGCTAAGAAGTTTCTAAGAATTGCTTACTTGCTATTAACAATATTGAGCAGATACCACTACAATTTATGCTTTACTCGAACCTTGAGGACAAGGTTCTTTTTGAGGCGTGGAGTATTGTTGTGAAAGCGGATGGTCCCTGAACTGTTGGGACTGGGGCTAAACTACGCAGAGGCCAAGAATTAGACATCCCAATACTAAATTGGCTTGGGATCCAGGTTGAATAGAGTTTATATGGTTGTCATCTGCGGTTTTGGAAAATTATGCATATTATGAAATTGTCTTTTCCTCTCATCTTCTTTCTAGAGTCTTAACTTCTCATCAACATTCTTATCTCTATCTTTAGTTATTTGTTATTACAGTACTTCTCTTTATAATTCAAGTGTTGTTATTATAATTTGATTATCAATGAATATAATGTTTATGTATTTATATTGAGAATTCAGATTTGTTTCAGTCTGATTGATGATTTTTAACACAAAAAATACGTTTCTCATGATGTGTGAAAAAAAAAATAGTATGGTGTCAAATTGATACTGTCAAATGCACATGAGAGAAAAACGTGGCATTTTATTAATAGCTCAATATTTCACAAATTTATTGATTTGTTACTTTTTTTAATTCCTAATATGAAACATTATCAATTGAATAATACAGATAAAATAGATATCGACCTTACCTTACTAAAACATAAGATAAGATAACATTGTTTTTAAAAAGTCATATAGTTTAATCTTTTGTTATGAGTGAGTTCATTGCTTATATGGTTACTTGATTATAATAATTATATAAAAAAGTTTCTTATTATTATTTTGACGGGGAGACTATATTCTTCAAAGTTGAGCTATTCATCCCCACCCACCCCAACAATAAAAAAAAAGTAAGAAAAAAAATTGAATAGGTAAAACCTACAGAGTAAAGGCACTTTTAACGTTTAATTTTCAAAGTTTAAAATGACAAGATTAGCATACTTAAATGTCGTGGAAATACGTACCAACCTAACATTTATCACTTTGCCAAAAATTGACATTTCAATATGATTTATATATAGGACTCATTTGTTTACATTAACAGTAGTATATTTAAATCTGAATGTATATTTAGATGATTAAAATGTTAGATTGTATATTTGAATTCTAAATGATTAACACCATTTGCTTTTTAATATTTGAATGTGCATGATTATTATTATAAAAAATAATAAATATATCATTCAAATAAATTTAAATTTAATATAATAAAATTATTTTTTATTAAAAAACTAATATTTATTTTGATTAGTGATGTTGGAGATGGTTTGTAGTGGTGCTACTAGCTAGCAATAGTGATGATGATTTGTGACAGTAGAGGTGATTAGTGTTGTAGTACTTATGATTGACACGATAATGGTGATTATGATGGTAGATGCGGATGGTAATAGGATTGACCGCAATAGTAGTAATGGTTGATAGTGATGATAAAGATAGCGTGGCGAGGGTGTCATCAGAGTAGTATTCTTATCCATCCTATCAAACGAGCCTTTTTAGACTTGTGGCTTGTTCAATAAGGTATCATAAATTAGGATACCAATTAGAAGTCAATTCGAATAGTGAACAATTCAATTTCGTGACGATTAGTAACCAAACCAAATGAAAGCTACTTTTAGAGGAAATTTTCAATGCACGAGACAAGATTAGTTTTGTGTTCATACAATGAGTCAAACATTCAAAATCATGTTGTAACTAAACAAATATTATTTCCCTTACAATTATTGTTCAATGAAGCCGGCACAAAGACATTGGTAATACTAACTGATTTTCAACATTTTTCAGTTAAAAAAACTGTAGTTGTCATCAGCATAACATTGAAATATATGCTTTTACTATACACGTCTATAAACCAAAAAAATAAAAACAATTCTTTTGTCAAGTTTTTACCACATTGCTTTCTGTATGATTTTTCAAACATATGACTAAAGATCTCTTCCGTTTCAACGCGAACATGATATCATTCTGTCTTTGATGACTTGACACAACATGGTGCCACCTTTTACCGATAAGAATGGAGAAGATAAGATTCCAGTTCTAACTTCTATGTGTTGTGTTTTGTGGTATGGCCAACCAATTTTAGTGATCCTGCCCCTCATCCATACATGAAATACATGAGAAACCTGCAAGAAAAAAAGCAAATGGAGATTAAGAACCCTTCTATGTTTCATCTCCGTCTCTTCGGTTTACTGATTTATGTTTCCAGGAAACAATGAAATGATTCTTAAGGAAACAATGAACTAATTATGTAATAGCCAGATTGAGTGCCACAGACCTAGTTCAGACAAAATGGCCATACCAAGACAGGCCAGATAACAACTACTCTACCACACCTCAATTCCAAAACTAGTTGAGATCAGCTATATGAATCCTCATTATCCATGTCGCTCCATTTAAACTAGTCTCAAGATACTCCATTTTGTTCAATTTCTCTCTAAGTCTGCATGAATTTCTAAAGATTGTAGATCTTTCAAAATGACTTACTTCCTTGTAACTTTTAGGTTTCCTTACTGCTTAAACAAATTCATTAACTATATTTCCATACCTATGACAACGTAGGACTGACCGACCGACCAATCTCAAGGGGCCTTCTTTCATCTTACATTGTACGCATGCTACGTGCACCTTCTGCTTCTGCTGAATGTGATTGTGTATAATCTTATTTTACCACACATACATCTTAACATACCCATTTTTTATTTTCCAACACTCATCTTGTGGATGTGGTTGACATTACGAGCTCAACATTCGCTCATTTATAGCATTGTTAGTCCTACAACTGTCTTATAGAACTGAGGTTTCACTTTGATAGGTTTCCTCTTATCAATAACACTCCAATGATACTTCTTGCAGCTATCTTATTTAATTCTATGTTAAATCTTCATCTATCGTATTGTTATCCTGGATAGTTTTTTTTATAAGTAGAGATAAAACACCTGAGTGTAGATATTAGGCATCAAATTCCTGGTCTAGTCTCATCTTAACTTCAGTTTTCTGATACTAGCTAAACCTGCAGTATATATATATATTCGTCTTACCTGCTGTATATATATCTATCTTACTCCAACGTATCCTAAAATCAATTTTCTTCAAAGCCTTTTTCCATAACCAAAGTTTTTTACAAACATTCTCGTTAGTTTATCAATTCATACAATATGGTCAGCATATCATGCATGCATCATGGATGTGAAATGGTTATACCCAGCTCTAATACATTGATTTAAATAGGTCTAATTTTTAGCATAGGCTCATAGATAGCCATCAATTGCCTCAATGATATCATCATGTCAGTAACTTCATTTGGCTTGTTGTAACCAATAGCCTCACTCTCATTAGCAATTTTGCAACAAAAAGTTAGTACCAAAAGAGAAAAGGTAACAGTGCAAGTTTACGTGGTTTCTCACTGTAGGATATATAGTTAATACCAAAAGAGAAAGGGTAACAGTGCAAGTTTACGTATTTTCTCACTGCAGGTATATATATATATATATAAAAGCAAGTCTTTGCATTCAGTATCTCGTATAAAAAATGTGAACTGTAGAATCCAAGTAGAGATGCTCACCTAAATATGTAGTATATTAGGAAAAAGGAAAGTACGAAGTATCCAACAAGTTTGCACACTTTCTGATTCGATTTCATCTCAAACACCTAAGAAAGTAAATGGATGTTAGACTAGCATCTGATAAAAGGAAATTACGGGAAAACATAGCATATCCTATAAGTATGTCAGACACAATCCCAAACACACACGACATAACAACAATATATATCACGTGTGCTTACCATCTTGAACCGATCCATAGTTCCTGACATGATTCCCCTAGATGAATCCATCTCATTCCCCTAATGGAAATAATCCAAAAAAGAAAAAGTTAACAAATAGTGTACAAAAAAGATTCAAAAAATAGCTGCATTACCGAAAAAGTTAACCAGTAGTGTACAAAAAAAGATTCACAAAATTAGCCGGCTTACCATTCGGTCTAGCATCTTGTTGTGGGTCTCCACCTCCTCATGTATGTCACCTGTTAACTGGCAAATATATTATCAATGCCTCGAAGAACATTTAAAATTACATAGCAGATATGCTGGAACTCCAAAACTAATATCATTAGTGTTCAAGAATATTACACATGATATGACAACAGAAAGAACAGCTTTCATTTATAAAGCTCTGAGCATCATGTCATAACTTTTTTATGCACGCACATATGCAACTTCAGTAGGAAAAAGTTTTACAAAAATGTAGCTTTCTCAGTGAAAGTAGCACCAGAAATTTGAGCATGAATGATTAAACTCCAGAGGGTCAATAACACTGAGCACACATTGTTTCTCCAACTTCCTGATTTTCAGTAGCACTTGTATTTTTGGTGCAAGGAGAAAATACCATGTTGTATTGATAGTTGGTAAAACTTGGTGGAAGATAATGTATGACTCAAGCAGAGTCACAAGCACATTTTGAACTTAATTTTGGTCACTTGGTGTTTATTAATGAAACTTTTTGACTAGTCAAGAGAAAAACAGTAGCATCAGACAATGTGGTCCATAAGATAGCAATGAAACCTACCATGGACAGAAGCATGATGTTGCAGTTCAATGACAAACTGTTAGTGAAATTGTCATCATATTGCAGTAATACGTCAACCATCTGGGACCATCCTTTGCTGACACCTCACATAAGGACTGAGTGACAGCTCTTGAAGGTGAACGGAATGTTTCTCCTTAGTCAATGATATTATAAGTTTGTAATTAACAAAAATTCTAGGCACGACCACTTTGGTCAAGTAGATCAAAGATAAGATGCTATGTATATAGGCCATATTGCTCTTCAAAAGTTCTAGCTCTTCTTTTTCTTTTTTCCACAACAATAATGTTCACCTTAAAGAGTTGTAGTGATAAATAATACACAACTGTTACTCTGCAGGTCCAATGACATCTAACTCAAAGAGTTGTAGTCATAAATAATGTTCCTGAAAGTCATCGCTTCATTACTTAAAGTGAAGAAGCGAGTGTTAGCGCTTCAAGTGTGAATTCACCACTTCATTGAAGTGTGTTTCAACAACGATGCGCAAAGTAATATCAAGGGGAAGTGGCCAGTTCTTTAGATCTCACTTTGAAGGAGTTGAACCAGTATTGACATATTGAATACTGAATTTGTCACTACCTCCATCCCAATTTATCTGGTGATGTTTAATTGGGCACGGTGTTTGATAAAAAAGAAAGACTTTTGAAACTTGTGATTTTTATGTGATGGAGGGAGTATTTTAATTGCAATTTGAGCAATATACTGCTAAATTCATATATGTTTGGTATTTTCTAATGTTGTGAATTGTGTGCTTCATTACAAAGAATTGTGTGGTTCAGTTCAAGTGTTTCACCTAAACCATAAAGAACCTTGTTGTTTTTGCACTTACGCCTTTAAAAATAAAAGTTGATAAACTTAGTTAGTGCACCAGCACCAAGGATCATGCAGGGGCGGACCTACAGAGGCAAGTGGGTTCATATGAACCCACTTCGTTGAAATATAACACCGTATATATATATATATATATTTGATCAGTTTTTAAAATTTTATATGTATATATTAACTTTTGAACCCACTAACACAAGTGTGACCCTTGGCAGAGTAGTGAAAAGGGTTCAATTTTCCCAGCCAGCCCAAGTTCGAATCCCTGTTGCCACATTTTAGTTTTATTTTTTATATCTTGAACCCACTTCGTGAAAATCCTGGGTCCGCCACTGGGATCATGTACAACATAACTAGGTGGGCATTTAGTTTGAGGGATTACGAAAGTAGTCAATATAAAATCCTGCAGAGAAAGCAACATTTGGTCGGGGTATAAAATAATGTCCATATTAAGTGGTGCACAAATTTGTGCATTACTTATAAGAGTATAAAAGAAAAAAATATTCTTAAAGTAAGCAATTGCTGCATAATATTCCTTGTATTACTATTCATCGCATAACAATACCTACATTATTATTTACCACATAACGACCTCTTTATTATTATGCGTCATACAATCAATCCTTGCATTATAAGAAAAAATTTGTTTGCATTATTAATTTACAATCCACAATAACTAATATGTGAACCAAACTCAAAAGTATTAACTTTTCGTGGTTTTTGAAAATTCTGCTTAATTTCAAAGATAATGAAGCTTGGGCAGAAACCACAGCTACTCAATGGAGTATATGCTCTAAAACAAAGAGAGGAGGTAATATAGAAAATGGGCGGAAAGAAGATAAATAAAATATTGCAAAACTTACTTTCTTTAAAAAGCTGACTCTGTCTTGTAAGCTATCCACAGCTTTGTCATTGTCTCGTTCATCAAGATCACGGGGATAGGAAGATGAAGCCCTTATACCACCTTCCTCAATACTATCATAGTTATCAAAGAGAGCAGCTCTATGGGCCCGATGATCCCTGTGGACCAAGAAGTTCAAATGCAATTTCTAAGGCCATGAAACAAGAATAACAGAGACTTCTGGATATTATGTGTTTGCAGGCAGTAAAGTAACTACATCTATTTATTTGCTATGTATCTCATTGTACAAGAGACACCCTGCAAAAAGAGCATTCACTTGGCACATAAAAAATGAGATCATGATAACTGAAATGCAATTTTTTCATGTCTTCTATCTTCTAACCCCAGTCTAAGCTTCATCATATGTCACAATACACCCCCAGCTATCCAAATTATTTCTCAAAGTTACGCATTATGAAATCCATCTCAATGCATTTAAGCTGGCATCTTAATCCATCATATTGTCACAATCATGAATTATTCTTCCCAGGTATTTAGCCAACATCTCAACATTGGTAGGCTGGTCGTAAGCATCTATTACAATAGTGCTAATTGATTTCCTCCTTCAGACTAGACAAGTTCCTGTTTCAACACTCTTTGAAAGAAGTAATTCAGATACTCTCAAGTATGTTCACACCAAGCTGTTCGACTAACTTCCATAGCAATGATTTAACATGAGCCCAGAAAGAACAGGGGCATCTGCCTGTCTTTTAAGAAGCAGCAAATCGAAACCACAACAACTATGTCAAACTGCAAAAGGTCAGATGAATGTGCCACTAAAATAGACAATCCCTCCATCCCAAGGTTCCTCCTTTCCTTCTTTGATGTCTGAACATTGTTGCTTTTTCCACAGATAGAACTTCTCATTCCAAAACTACCCATAACTTTAAGGTAAAGGGCATAATTCTTGAAAGCCTTTTATATATAAGGGCAATTGTGGACTCGACATGTAAACTTCCACTTCTTAATTTTGTGAAAGATTTAAAAGTGCCACTACTTATGATCTATGGAAGATACTATGAGCTGAGTGCAAATTCCACGTAAATCTTTGAATTTAAGAAAGAAATATGATATGACATTCACACTGACACCTAGCAGAAGGCTTGTGTCTCATGGTAACTGCGTCAGCAGAGGCGCCATATTATGACACATTTTTCTAGTCTCAGCAAAAACTCAACTTTCTTTAGTTGAAACCAAGGAATACCTTACCATTGATATAACATGCAGACAGAACAAACAATTTCCCTAAAGTTTCTCAGATCTAATAAACTCCCAGTATGTATTTTGCTTAGCTATCCAACGGAGAAATAGATGATACAGAAATATTCACTAGTTCCATGATTTATAGAACTGGTAATCAAGCAGTCCTGGAACGAAAGTTTATCACGGGAAGTGAGATCAAGTTTAAGTCACTTAGGAGATGAACCCAACAGATGATCTGATCCGGAATACTTGTTTGACAACTATTTTGGTAATAGTGGTATCATTAAAGCTACAAATCTTAAGACGAAAGAAACCCCTTCTCTGATAACTTGTTATTCAAAATTTCCTTTCAACACAGTAGAAATACAGGAACTAACTGCTGTTTCATTTCACAAATGTTGAAGTACCAATTCAGAGAACAAATTTTAGCATTTCTTGTTGATTAGAAAAGCAACTCCAAATTGCAGACAGAAAAATGGCATCCAAAATCACACTCTCAAGTTTAGAGCATTGGTTCAAAAAAACTTATCAACATAGCATAAACCTCAAAGTGGAGAGTTCAGCTCACTTAACGTATTTAACCTGTCCAGTATTTGAATCTAACATTCAGATATATTTTAACAACCCATTCATCCTATGTCAACTTTTATATTAAATCCTCTCTGGTGATTATTGCTGCTATTAATAATCTTGACCGAGTTATGTGAAAACCTTCATATTATCATTTCACCAGGTCAAGCACAATTAGAAAGGGAGCCAGAAATGCACCATCTATTTCTTTAACCTGAAATGGACCGATAAACATTCTATTCTTTCTTCAAGTTTAGTGGTTACGATATCATTGGGCGATCTTACGTGCAAACTAACTCTCCTTGGACAAGGGACTTCAAATCTTCACGGCATAGCCCCAACACTCGAACTGATCAAATTTGTTTGTCATATTGAGATTCTTTTTTCATTTTTAATGTCAATTAACTTAAATGGAGAGTTATAACGTCACTATATTTGCTAAACCAATAATCCCAATAGCATTTGAGAATGTTAATGTCATGAGATAACCCAGCAATTTCCTACACAATTTTGAACTAACCATGTCCTTGAAAGGGGAAAAGAAAGAAGAACACAAACTACTCTTTCTATCTCATTTTATATGACAGAGGCACTATTTGGGGAGTCTTAACATTCTTTTTAATCAGTGTTGTCCGCTTAAGCCCTGAAGCAACGCACAAAACATGTTGAGCGGTTCACCTCATCATCAAGGCTCTAGGACATACTTTTCCTTACCGATGAGCATAAATCTGAAGACGAGACACTAAACAATTGATATTTCACTTTTATCTTAGTTATTTTTTTTTTCAATTTCTTTGTCTATATATTTGTTATTCATGCTTATGATTATTAATCTTGGAGTACACATACACATTTGTATTTTTTTTTCTCCATTTATGCCTTTCTTCAATAAAGCTAACCTTTATTTGTGCTTAAAGCTCCAAAAGACCTTGTAAATTTTATTTCAACTTAACTAATTAGTACATCACTATCACATTCACCAAAAATATTAGATACCTTGACTCTATTCATCATTCTTTTCCGCAACTACAATTGCACGACAATGCAGAAATACTCCAAATTGTGAATGCGTTTAACAGAGAATCGCAGAGACTGACTGACCTCCGATAACTCATTGCAGAAACCGCCGGTCACAGTTCTCGCCGGTGATCCGGTTGAAACTATGCATACACGACAATGGAAGATTCTAGAAGCCGGAAGTAGAAGTCTGTAATTGGAATCAGAAGTTGGACCAGCAATTGCAGATCTGGAAATTTTCAGAGGGAAAAATTGGTACTTTTTTGAGTGATAAATACAAATCGAATTGGAAATGTTGGGAAAAGCGACTGAAATTTGAGTTACAATGGCGAGAGAAGAATATTGGACGTGTCGGTGAATAATAAAAAAATATACTATAGGTTATTATATTAAATTAATATACATTTGATATGAAAAATTAAGTGAAAAATGGATTTTTTTTATTACCTAACATTCTATTACTGATGATAAAAAAAAAATTGTTGTCTGTATACCTAACTTAAATTTATTCAAATAGTGATATTTTATTTTATATGACGGTAAATGAAATGTTTCTTAAATAGAAAAGAAATGGTCATTTTAGATTTCTTATATGTAAAAATGAAAAATGGTTTATAAGCGTGTGTAAGGATTATATGGCTCTACCATGAGAATATCAATCAGAGGTCTCGAGTTCAATTCATATGCTTACAGATAATAAAGGGATGTTTGCTGTTTTTAAACACAAAACAATTGATCCTTTTTGTACTTGATTCACAACCAGCTCGTTAGTGTTCATTAATAAAACTTTACCTTAACAAAGAAACAATTATGACAATACAGTTTTAGGGCAACCTTCCAGCTTCAGAATTCGAATTTAAAGATTTATAGGCACCCATACATCAGTGTTGCAAGAGCAATTTGTAATAACATACAGTGAAACATCGCCTCTCTACCTCCACAAAGGTGGAGATAAAGTCCGCGTACATCTCACCCTCCCAGACCTTACTCGTGGGATCACACTGAGTATGTCGTTGTTGTTGTACAGTGAAACATCATACAGAAACTTTCTGTGACATAGACCACTGTAGCTAATCTTGGAAGAAACATAATATATTGGATGAATCAACAATTTTCTTCACTTCCAGAAATGAATCCATTCAGTACTCTGAATTTTGGATCTAAAATACTCCGTTGAGTATCTCAATCTAACGATACAAATGGAACAGTAATAATCCGTTGAGTATCTCAATCGAACGATACCAATGGTTAACAAAAGAAGGTCTATTCTGAAGACGAAAAACATATACAACTTACACAGCAATTAAGTGGAGGTGCATAAATATGTACTCTTGGAAGTCCTTGCAATGAAATTATCTAAAATGATCAACACCAGAGAACCAGACATCTTGAATGTATGGATCTCTGATGTTGACATCGTGTCGAACTATATTCTAAACTATCATACAAATGCATCAAATTCAAAAATATTACCACACTAGTGTTGTTCCAATGCGAACAATGTGATCAAGAATGAAAAGAACCTCCGAATTGCAGTTGCCACTCCATACAATCTTCAAAATCAATGCTGCTGGCGCAGTCCAATAAAGCATTTTGTTGTTGTTCAAACCGGCATATGTAGTTTAATCCAATAAGCAGCTCGCAAATTACAGCCTCCATCTTCTGACAATCGGCAAAATACAATGTCTGAAGAAGGAGAACATTAGTTCTCTTAACAATCTGTTGCTGCTCAAAGTTCCGTTCGCTTTGCCACCGGATCATATTATGTGCTAAAGGTGCAAGCCATTTGAGTATCTCTTCAAGCCTTTCTTTCCAATCATGCGCAAGAGGCGCATCATATATGGCTAAACCTTTCATATAAGATCTCAGACTAGCCTTCAACGTCTTTCTTAAGCTTGTCGGTAACATCTGATATAGATCATCCCTCCCCTCATCACCAACCAGATGTGGGTACTGGAGCAGCTTTTCTACGACAATAATCACATTCGCGTAATGCAAAGCTAAAGCAGAGCCTCCGACTGTTGTAGGAGGAGCATACAAAGTTACCCTACTTTTGGGACCATGTTTTGCAGCATTAGCCACACAACTCTTTAGCTGTCTGGTATCTCCGCTAAAACGGATACTACCAGGGGACCTATTGAATGAACCCGAAACGCTAGATTGCTCCCTCTTCATACCACTTGAAACACTACAACATCCAGATATCTGACTACTTCTGTCATCAGTCCCAACATCATTGTCGAAATCCATTTTTGAAGCAGAACTCAAGCTCAGACATTCCATGAATAGTCTCCCAGGTCCCATTCCACAAGCAAAATTAAAATTCTCAGTACCAAATAAGCTCCCTTCATTTCTTCCAACCTTAGTTTGAGTACTATGGCTCATGCTCCTTTTCCCCGACGCCCCCCTCTCAGTTGACCCCGATCGATAGCTTCCATTATTGTTCCTCAATGCAGGCTTCTTGAAATCAGCATCCATGACTTCAGACTTGCTATCTGCAACAATTACACCAGACTTCTCATTGAATCCTCGATTACCTAAAAGATCCCTCTTTACGAGAACATTATTGCCAAACACCGTACTGATCCGAGAATATACAGTACACACAGTCCTAGCCAACAGTTCAACAACTTTATCATAAGTCTGATTCCAAAGTGAAACATCTTCTAAATGCCTCACATCTTGTTTCTGCCAAGCAAGTTTCTGCTCAAATGCCTTTCTACTTTCCTCATGCTGATTCTGCTGAAATTTCTTTGTTGCCACTTCCAATTCATTCAAAACAGCCATCTCACAATACAAACTAGCAGTAGAATTCACATATCTCTCCATTTTCCTAACCATCCCCTCCATATCTTTAACCAAAAATCCCAAATCCTTCACATCAATAACCCCAGAAATAACATCACCATAAACATGCTGAAACCCTTGTAAGGCAGAAATTGTACATTTTTTCCCAAGCCTAGACACTACACTAGCAACCCTATTCAAATCATCAAGTTTTTCAACAAGTACTAATTCAAGAAGCTTATCTTCATCATCAGAAACTAAAGCCTTTATTCCTACAGACTTAAAGATCTCATTTTTAAGCTTAAGAATCTCAGAATCAGTCAAAGATTTATGAAGATGAATAATCTTAGACATCATATTAGCAACTTCAAATGATAATATCCCTATAAACAACTTCTCTTGTTGAGTTTGTTTCTTCATAGATAATTTCTTTGAATTTTCAATAAGTAAAGAATGTTTCTTGACATTAGTACTTACCTGACTACCCATCCTCAAACACCAAGGCTCAGCCACCATTTTCTTGCAATGGGGTTTCAACAGATCTACAAAAAGAGTGAAATCAAGAAGAGAAATGCAAGAAAACAAGAAAATTGAAGTGGGGTTGAAGTATTGAAGGGTAAAAGAATGGATTTTGAGAGTGGGTTCATTGATTTTTTGTGCTGAAAAAAGTGGGAACAATGTAGATGAGTTTCAAGTAACGCGCATGGTGTGAATGGTGGGGAAAAAATGCAATTGATTTTGATGCACTGAAGAAGAAGAAGAAGAATGGAAAATGTTGAGTGGTTACAGAGAAGACTAAAGACTTGTCTCTGCGTGTGAGAATTTGTAATGATTTTTTTTTGAAAAGGCAATGGGAGTTTTGAAGAGGAAGAAGAAGCCAAAGCTCAAAGCTCCCTAACCCATCCCCCACTCAAAACCAACCCCCTCATAACCCCCCACCCCTATCAACTGTACCATTATCCCAAACAAGCAAAGAAGTTTAATGTCCGACTAAATCTGAAGTCGCATCGAAAAGTGTCACATTAAAAAAGGGGACTCAAATTTGATACATTTGGTTATAGATAACGAAGTATTTATCACTACACCTCAACTTTTATTGGTCGTTACATAAATAACTAAATAAGTTAACTATTTAAAATGTGTTTTCTCCTGTAATTATGATTATCACTCTCAATTAGAAAATGTCTAGAGTTTTATAACTTATTGGGGCGAATGTGTATGATTAAAAGAAGATGATACAATTTAAATAGTTAACTAATTTATGTAATAAACACTTGAGAACAAGTGGAAAAAAATAATATAACACAATTTGAATCATCGCGAAATTTAACTAAGAAATGAAAATTTATATTTTTAAAAATGCCGTAAAATTTATAATAAAGAAATTTTAAATAATTGACAATTTTTACTATAATATAAAGTTAATTATTTTCAAAAATTATATCACTTTGTTTAAATGAATCTTTTTTAAAAGGGTATGATACAAGAATAAAAACAATATAACATAATCTAAAATACTCCGATAAGAGAGAGTTGTTCGAATAGTAAACATCCCTCGCTTTGTGTAGAGGGGTAAAAAAAATCTAAAATTCTTTTAGTATCTAGTGGTTTTCATCTCAAGAATATATATCATTAAACTTAAATTTTTATTGTAATTCTTTTTCAAATATGAAAAGTGTCTAATAAACTTAAATAGAAAAGAAACAAAGGTAATCAAATATGATTATCTTTTTTTCTTTTTTTGGTCGAATCAAATATGATTCATATGCTGAAAAATTTTATTATGGGTGAGGCCCAACCAACCAAAGTTGGAAGAGGCTCCACCCATTTTTTGACATGTGGATCGTGGGGCCCAAACTATTAGTTAAGGCTGAAAAATGAAACCAAAAGGAGAGAGAATGTAAAGTTTGAGTGAGAATTGCAAGATAATTGTGGAGTCCATGTCAACTTCAATTAAATAAATTAAAATATTATATTGAAAGTGGAAAAGTGCAAGGGAATAAAAAGTCATATTATTAGTTGATCAATATTTTTATTTTCTATTTTATATCCACATTTATTTAACGTGTTGAATTGAATATCTATTAAAAATATTATTCTTATATTGAAATTTGTTTACACTCTATTTTCTTTAAACTCGCGTTACTTTTAAAAATAGTTCTATATTACAAGATAAGATAAGATTTGTGTATTTTTTATTGTCTTCAAACTAATTTACTATTAACGTCAAATACCAAATTGAAGACATGCATAATTCTAATAACCTATTAAATAAACCCTTTAATGCTACTAAAGCAATGGGGTGAAGAAATGGAGGACTATGAAAAAAGAGCGGAAAAAAAGAAAGTGATATCGTTTGTTTTGAAAACTCGAAAATCTCATTAAATGATTGTTGGTTTAATTTTATCATGTTGCGTTTCATTTACACAAAATATAAATTATTTCATTAGTTAAATTATTTATCGTAGTGACTAGTGAGAATGTACATTATGTTAGCATTTATTAATTGAGAAAAGGTT